GGGCAAGGCGGTGCCTGGTCTGCGGAGCTCTGGGCTCCCCCCGGCGGGCTCCTGGCTCGCACAGCCGAGCACCGCGCGGTGCCAGTAGATGGCACTCCAGAACGGGTAACAGCGTCACTCGGGGCTCTGCAGGCCTGGCTGGGTGCAGCAAATGTCCTCCGCTGGCAGCCCCTGACGGTTGTGTCAGAGTCAAGGTACTTGGAGAAAGAAGAATAAGGGCTAATGCTTCCACAGGACGAAAAGACCTCCCAGCACCAGCTGGAGCGTATGTTGGAGAGGATGCAACATATGCTCGCTCAGTATATCCAGCCTCTTTTAGAAGTCAGTTCAAAAGCAGTAGGACGGATCTATCACATAGCACTTGTTGAGAGTTGGGAGCGGTCTTACTCTTTCCTTACAGCCCTGTATGGGCTGCCCGGGGCACAGGAAGCCTCCTCCAGCTCTTCTGGACTTACGTGAGGACAGGCAAAAGCCAACCCTTCAGCTTCTAAACTTAGGGTTAAGTAAGGCAAAGGATTGTGATTAAATAGGAATGTCTGTTGATTCCTATCATGAATGTAAGCTGGGGTTTTTGTTCCTCGTAGCACAAACCTTATTGCTCATACAACGGCCGTTTTCTTGCCCTCTATCTTTGCAACACAAGTCTCAAGGGTTGTGATGCAAAGAAAAGATTGCGTGAAAGCAGCATCAGGCAGAACTTAGCTTAGAACAATACTAATCAAAACTAATAATTCCGCTACATTTGGTTTGTTAAAAAGTGTTATTTTCCACAAAAAGCAGCTATATAATATGTGAATATTACATGATAGAAGACTTTAATGACAACCAAGAGTTCAACAGTCATTTCCTTAGAGATTTTGCTTATATTTCCATTAATAATATAAATTATAAATGTCTTAAGTTAAAACAGTACATACCACTTTTGCAGGGGATTCATTACTTATTTAACCTGAAACTGCATGCTTATGTTTTCCATAATGGCTATCAAATGCAATGTCAAGATTTTCTTAAACTAACCTGCTTGTAAAGGACTTCGCTCACAACATATGGTTATTTCTTCATCAAAGAATATGAAACTAATTGTTACCAAATAAAAACAGTAAGAAATATACGATTGACCTAAGTCTTATACTCACTATGTTACCAGGTTTGAGCATAATCATTAATTGCAAAGTTATCACTGGCTGTGAAATACACAAGAACATTTAACTGCCTCCCACAGTGACCGTGAAAATACAGAGAATGATGGTAACCCCAGAGATACCAGGAAACGCTCAAAAGCTGAAGAACTACCAGCATTATTTCTGTGAAGGAGGGACTCAAACCCTCTCAACCAGTCCATTCAGCCTTAGGCCTTTTCTGTCAAAGATGATAGCAGTGATTATGGCCTGAAATTACCAGATTATTTTATATAGGCCTTTGACAACAGTGCTGCATCATATGGTGAAAGGTCTGTTTCCTTTCTCTATTTCAAATGCCTTACTTTGCTCCCATGCCTACACAGGCTTCAGTCAGAAAGTATTTCTCATTTACATGACCTAGATAGAATAATAGTGAGAAAGATGTTCCTTGATCTTTTTTTCTGTTGATTTGGTGTATTCAGCCTGGAAGAAAAACATAATCATGGGAATGCATTGTTTCTTTTATGTTGGTATTAGGAAGCAATGCAAGGTAGACCAGGGGGATAGATCTAGGCAGAAGCCTTGCAATAAATGGACAAAAACCCACATGGAATAGATTTAGGGATGACACAGTTTTGCTTATTTTTTTAAAAAGTTCCTTGTTTAGTTACTTTTCAAACTTGATTTTACTACAGTGACCTATAGCTGACAATAACTAGCTAGGTGATTTAACTCTAGCACAGCTACTTTTAGAACCGTGTCAGTAATAAGGATGATAGCTCAGGGCAATGGGTGGCTTATTCCATGATTACTCATTTCAGAGTCATTACCTCAGCTGGCATACTGGATGACCTATATTAAAAAGTGCTATGAGCTGACTTGAACTGTGGTTATGGAAATAGTCTGAAAGCATCTCGACTCCATGTGGCCTTAGCTATTGCTCAGTTGTATCCATTGCTGTGGTCAGTCGCAGGTTCCTTTTCGGATCGAGACAAGGCTTCCAATTTTTCTGTGATATTCTTATATGACAGGGTAGGACAAGTAAATCTTTCTTGAAATGACAAAGCAAGAAGCAGAGGAAACACCCAGGTACCATCTTCCATGGACTGCTACGATGAACACATCCGTGAGAGAAGTTAAAGGAACATTTGTCTGGGTTTAGAATGATTTGTGACAAACTATGGCTATGCACACTGATCTGTGCAATGGATAATGAAGCTGAATAAATCATCTGCTCAAGAAGGAGAGAAACAGAGTTACCATTTTTAGCAACTTTAAATATTTAGTTTCAAGAAGTAGTACAAAAAGTAGACGGTTGTCCAAAACATTGTAGAATCCCAAAATACAGACAAACTGTGACTGGTAATAATAAAGAAAAACACAGGAGATTATCTAATAGTCGAGATCTTTCAGATAAATTATAGTTACTGCCTGAACTAGCACCATGGTGATGAGTAGCAGTATGAATGAATGAAAATGCAAACCATCTTTGTGGTGAGGAGCCTCAGTAACAGGACATGAAAAAGTTTTAAAAAGTTCTTATTCTGAAAATGGAAGTACTGATTCCAAAATAATAGTTTTGGGCTTATTTTGTCATCCAAGGACAATTAAAATGAATGGAAGGATGCTTACTAACACTGATGGGCTTTGAATTCAGGCTCCATCCTCTTTCAAAAATGTCAAAATATAAAAAAAAAAATCTGCCCAGTCAAGCAAGGGTAAGAAATGCGACAAAAGGACATTGACAGAATGTCTGTCAAATCACAGGAATTAGGGAAATAGTCCAAACAATCAGGGATGAAGATTATTTCATGTCATTGTGTCCAAAAAAATAAATTCATACACAACATAGCTTATCTCAAATTCTTCCATGCTTGTATTTATTGAACTTAAAAGCATTTACAAGTCGTGATCATTTTGTGAAAATAATTTTAAGAAAGCGTTGCTTCAAAACAAACAGCTTGTACAGTTTCCAATAGCTAACAAATATTTATTCCGAGTATCTCAATTCTAGTCCACTATTGCCTAAAAAGAGAAGTATTGTGTATTTGAAATCTTTGTCATTATTATGTCCATTTTAGACAGCTATTTAGACAGAACTAAAGCTACTGAAAGTGGTCTCCCAAAACTCACAGAGGAATCTGACATGCTGTTCAGCTGGAAACAGCCTTCTTGAAAGAGAATTGATGTGAATCCTTTTGTAAGTGCTCTGAGCACTCAAAATACATCATAGAATACTAATCACACTACTTCCCAAAGCAAAAGAAAAATAAAAAAAGATAGAGTGCATCACTGAACTGAGAATGGTACATCTCTTTGGAGACATTTCGGGGGGGGTGGTGGGGGTGGTG